GTATGGTAGTTAGGATGTATGCTTTGGAAAATTGAAATTTCATGTATAATTAGAGAAAACATAGGTCCAAAGCATCTAGGGTTGCATGTGCACCATAGGAGTGTTATAGTGTTTAAAACCCAACAGTGGTATCAGAGCCTTGGATTGTTTTCTGTTATATTTGATGCTTGTTGATTTTCAAAGCAGAAAAAAACGATTTTTTGGCCTCTGACTGATGAACTCGCCGAGTCCACTGGCTGACTCGACGAGTCCACTCAGTAAAAGGGCAACTAAACGAGTCCAGTTCATGCACTCGTCGAGTAGAGGCTCCTGGTTGCAGAATTTCGAGTTTTTCGCCAGTATTGGACTAGGATCATGACCACAAACTATTTTGTAATCATAAAAAATGTATTTTCTGATTTGGTAATGATGATCCTCATCCAATTTTAGGACAATTGTCAAATTTTAAGATAATAAAGTAATTATTTGTATTATTTGATATGAATTGCCTTGCTATATGAGTTAGATTAGATCAATAGAATATTATATGATAATGTTGTAGTTAAAATTGATATAAGTTGTTCTTGAAGTGAGTTTTTTGTAACTTGTCCTCAAGTTATATGAAGAGTCTCATTCATGAACATTAAAACACATAAGTTTTCATAATTTATGGAAAAGAAAAGGTTTTCAAGAGTCTCAAAAACTTTCCCTCAAGTTTTGGAATTTGAAAAGTCTCAAATTATGAAAACATTAACTCTTGTAATTGAAAGGTTTCAAAAGATGCAACTCTTAGGTTCATAACTTAAAAATTGATTACATATTTTTAATTTTGAATTTTTAATAACCTAGATGCTTTGAATAGTTCAATTACACCTTATGGACCACTACTAGAAAATAGCCCTTTAATGATGCGCAAACAATGACACGCAGTGATTTACGATACGCAAAAGCGTGCGCCCTAAAAATAATGTCATCTCTTCTAAAATTTAAAGGATAGAGGATACGCATTTATACGTGCCTTGAAATTAGTGTCAGAAAAGAAAAAAAAAGAAACACGGAGGGCACCTATCATAAAAAGCGTGTCGTGTAAAGGTGTCGCTTTATATTTTTTAAGAAGGCGCGTTCTCCATATTTTTTTGGGAAATGAAATCCCAAAAAAATTAAACACCCTGCCTAATACTCCTTCTTCTCCTTCTAAAATCCTCTGCTAAGAACCCTAAATCATTCATAACCATTTTCCATTCCCAAAAAAATTAAACATCCCGCCTACTACGACTCCCCAAATCACCCTAAATCATAAATCCCTAAATATTAAGAACCCTAATTTGTTCTTGAGAAACGATGCCTTAGATCAAAAACTGTGAATTCAACTTAGAATTAGTTTAGGTTCTCTCAATCAAGAACCTCCCCATTTTATAACTCAGAAAAAACATCAATGCACGCATATTGCACCTACGCCGAAGTCAGCCGTTCGTTATCCCATATGGTCATCGTCACAGCCTCAACTTTATACGTTTATTTTGTATAAATCTTTGAACACAGACAAAATAAATCAATTGCATCTCTTTCTCTCTCTTTCCTTGTTTGTATAAATCAATGATGCCATCATACATTTCTTTTCTCCATTACCCTCTTTTTTTCCCTAAAATCATATCTGGGTTTCTGTTTACTCATATGATTTCGCCAAGATATTGATGCATTCATGGCTTACACATCTCTCAATTCTCTTTCTGTTGGTGGATCTGCTCTTTTTTGCTCTCGATCGAGGGTTTTTTGGGCTTCAGGTCTCGGATTTCTTTTAGGCCTTCTTCAACTGTACTCATGCAGAAATTCTTTGGTAAGGCTTTTTAATCGCTCTTTAATTTCGATTCTATGTTGTTTCCATTAGTTAGTTTGCCTATTTTCTGTTCAATTTTCGTTATTTAGTTGTTTTGTTAGGGGTTCTCGAAATTATTACTTTACTTGACTGTATTTAGAAGATCTCATCATAAAATCCACCAAATTTTCATTTATTTGTTGTTGAATTTTCCTGTTGCTACTTGGTAGTTGTACTTCTTACATGAACTTGCATATGAATTACATGATCAATGTCCTGTTATTACTTTACTTGACTGTATTTAGAAGATTTCATTTATTTGTTGTTGAATTTTCCTGTTGCTACTTTGTGTTCTCTGAAAAAAATCTTCAAAAAGCAGCAAACCACCATTGATTCCCTTCATGATGAATGTCTCTTTGAGATCTTCAGACGTGTATCTGGTAGCCAAGAAAAAATTTCATGTGCTTTTGTCTCAATGCTAAAATTCGTTAATTTGGAATTAATTTAGTGATCAAAAGAGACTATTTAAATTAGCGGGGACTGGTTATGTAAATCAGTGATATATATAGTGTTTGGGCTATTGATCCATGATGGGCTAAGTTTATGTAAGTATCCATGAAGGGTTAGCCCACATGAGATATGGATCATAACCTAAGTGTATGGATTAGGGTTTATCCATGACTCTTGGAATCCTACACTATATAAATGTTACCCCTTAGCCAAAATCGGTACACACTAACACCTATGGAGTTCTAAGAGAATCCTAGCCGATTTTGGTGGTGCTAAACCTCTCTCTCAAAGTCCTCCTTTGTTCATGGTGTTTGTGAACCATTTGAGGCATCACACTTGAGGTGCTAAAGCTTTCTAAGGCCAAGAACTACAACTACATCAAGAGGTATTCATCTAACTATGAGTTTTATATTGTATATCCTCTATTGTATGGTAGTTAGGATGTATGCTTTGGAAAATTGAAATTTCATGTATAATTAGAGAAAACATAGGTCCAAAGCATCTAGGGTTGCATGTGCACCATAGGAGTGTTATAGTGTTTAAAACCCAACAGTGGTATCAGAGCCTTGGATTGTTTTCTGTTATATTTGATGCTTGTTGATTTTCAAAGCAGAAAAAAACGATTTTTTGGCCTCTGACTGATGAACTCGCCGAGTCCACTGGCTGACTCGACGAGTCCACTCAGTAAAAGGGCAACTAAACGAGTCCAGTTCATGCACTCGTCGAGTAGAGGCTCCTGGTTGCAGAATTTCGAGTTTTTCGCCAGTATTGGACTAGGATCATGACCACAAACTATTTTGTAATCATAAAAAATGTATTTTCTGATTTGGTAATGATGATCCTCATCCAATTTTAGGACAATTGTCAAATTTTAAGATAATAAAGTAATTATTTGTATTATTTGATATGAATTGCCTTGCTATATGAGTTAGATTAGATCAATAGAATATTATATGATAATGTTGTAGTTAAAATTGATATAAGTTGTTCTTGAAGTGAGTTTTTTGTAACTTGTCCTCAAGTTATATGAAGAGTCTCATTCATGAACATTAAAACACATAAGTTTTCATAATTTATGGAAAAGAAAAGGTTTTCAAGAGTCTCAAAAACTTTCCCTCAAGTTTTGGAATTTGAAAAGTCTCAAATTATGAAAACATTAACTCTTGTAATTGAAAGGTTTCAAAAGATGCAACTCTTAGGTTCATAACTTAAAAATTGATTAAATAGTTTTAATTTTGAATTTTTAATAACCTAGATGCTTTGAATAGTTCAATTACACCTTATGGACCACTACTAGAAAATAGCCCTTTAATGATGCGCAAACAATGACACGCAGTGATTTACGATACGCAAAAGCGTGCGCCCTAAAAATAATGTCATCTCTTCTAAAATTTAAAGGATAGAGGATACGCATTTATACGTGCCTTGAAATTAGTGTCAGAAAAGAAAAAAAAAGAAACACGGAGGGCACCTATCATAAAAAGCGTGTCGTGTAAAGGTGTCGCTTTATATTTTTTAAGAAGGCGCGTTCTCCGTATTTTTTTGGGAAATGAAATCCCAAAAAAATTAAACACCCCGCCTAATACTCCTTCTTCTCCTTCTAAAATCCTCTGTTAAGAACCCTAAATCATTCATAACCATTTTCCATTCCCAAAAAAATTAAACATCCCGCCTACTACGACTCCCCAAATCACCCTAAATCATAAATCCCTAAATATTAAGAACCCTAATTTGTTCTTGAGAAACGGTGCCTTAGATCAAAAACTGTGAATTCAACTTAGAATTAGTTCAGGTTCTCTAATCAAGAACCTCCCCATTCTATAACTCAGAAAAAACATCAATGCACGCATATTGCACCTACACCGAAGTCAGACGTTCGTTATCCCATATGGTCATCGTCACAGCCTCAACTTTATACGTTTATTTTGTATAAATCTTTGAACACAGACAAAATAAATCAATTGCATCTCTTTCTCTCTCTTTCCTCGTTTGTATAAATCAATGATGCCATCATACGTTTCTTTTCTCCATTACCCTCTTTTTTGCCCTAAAATCATATCTGGGTTTCTGTTTACTCATATGATTTCGCCAAGATATTGATGCATTCATGGCTTACACATCTCTCAATTCTCTTTCTGTTGGTGGATCTGCTCTTTTTTGCTCTCGATCGAGGGTTTTTTGGGCTTCAGGTCTCGGATTTCTTTTAGGCCTTCTTCAACTGTACTCATGCAGAAATTCTTTGGTAAGGCTTTTTAATCGCTCTTTAATTTCGATTCTATGTTGTTTCCATTAGTTAGTTTGCCTATTTTCTGTTCAATTTTCGTTATTTAGTTGTTTTGTTAGGGGTTCTCGAAATTATTACTTTACTTGACTGTATTTAGAAGATCTCATCATAAAATCCACCAAATTTTCATTTATTTGTTGTTGAATTTTCCTGTTGCTACTTGGTAGTTGTACTTCTTACATGAACTTGCATATGAATTACATGATGAATGTCCTGTTATTACTTTGCTTGACTGTATTTAGAAGATTTCATTTATTTGTTGTTGAATTTTCCTGTTGCTAGTTTGTGTTCTCTGAAAAAATCTTCAAAAAGCAGCAAACCACCATTGATTCCCTTCATGATGAATGTCTCTTTGAGATCTTCAGACGTGTATCTGGTAGCCAAGAAAAAATTTCATGTTCTTTTGTCTCAATGCTAAAATTCGTTGATGGAGGGAATCACATTTCTTCAAGCATGCTCATTTCCATTCCATCAGAGGAGTATCTTGCATTATTACCATTATTCTCAAAAAATTCAAATACATTGGGCCAGTACTGGCTCTCACTCTTGAAGGATTACAGCTATGTCTGCTTCAGCACACGCCCTAATATACATGTAAGCTTAATCTATTCCTTGTATACTTTTCAGTTAAATGCAGGTTATACATCATATTTGGGAGTCTATAACATTTCTCTGTGTCTTATTCCTACAGGTGATTTACATACTTCTATCCAGGGCCGTCCCAAGGGTTGGGCGAGCTGGGCCACAGCCCAGGGCAGCATGTTCAGATGGGGTATCAAATTTAATGGGTATAGTTGACTTGGGTTTAAATTTTTATCCACAAACTAGTGTAGCTGATAAGGGAAGCGGAAAGGGCATGGCACGATCTAAGTTGAAAATTAAAAACCATTTTATGAACACATTAAAATATATATATATATATATATATATATATATATATATATATATATATATATATATATATATATATATATATATATATATATATATATATATATATATATATTAAACACACACTTTTGGTTGTTAATATCGTAAAGAATGACCTGTTTTTTCTTTCTTTGAATGTGGTATGAACCTCTTTATATACCATGAGTATTCAATATTCTTGGTTTAGGCTGATAAGGGAAGCGGAAAGGGCATGGCACGATCCAAGTCAAATATCAAAGAAGAATATGTCTACATTTCATAATAGAAGTTTCAACAATTCTTGTTTCTGTTAGAACTCAACTTGCTAAGAAATTGGCTTCTCCTGCTATGCCAGTTGGAGAAGAATTTCAACCAGAAGCTGCTATTGTTAATTACTTTGCTTCAGGTACTAATTCTACACAAGTCATGCTCCTTCTTTTCTTAATAATAAAAGCTGCTATTGATCTTTACAGAGAAATGATGGAAAGTGGTGTCATCAAGCTAGGCGACAAGCAGGTAAATCTTTATATAGATATATATTTTCCATTCCCAATTTCCCATTTCATGGTTATCTCGTTGTCAAAGTATTTAACAAATAAAAGCATCAACTTATGTGTAATGATTGATGATAATTTCAAGCAGTTAGCAAACCTGTATTGTGTGATTTCAGGATTCAGGCTTGCTAATGATAGGCAAGTATAGGCTCCCCAAGCCCTTCTTCAGTAGTCAGCTTCTTGAAAGAAGTTTTCCCGAGTGCTGAACACTTCAGAGATGCTGAAGGTCAAGATGTGCTTCTCTTTATTGACAACTTATGTGCTTCTCTTTAGACGAAGTTGTTATATCTATGATTCTATATTTCCTGAAACATATTCGAAATATTTAACAAATAAGAAACCACAATCCCATAAATCCCCCTCTTTTGATTCCTTCTAGACCTTAAAAACTTCTCAACACTTCCAAGTTTAACTTCTAAAACTCCCATAGCATTAACAGAAAGCCTACACCCAACAATCCCATCTATACTTCCATCAGAAACCATAACAGGAAGCTCCCACACAGGCAAAAGTAGCCTTGAAGCACACAAACAAACCCCTTCACGAGCCCCTGAAAACACCGGTTCAGCTTCTTGTACAACTTGCCCCATGCTAAACCCACCAAGGGCAGTTCGGGTATTTCACAATGCCACACCACTACCTTCAAGTTGAGGCACCCCAACAACTCTCGGATCCTCAAAAGCCTCAGTAGCCTTTTCAACCACAACATTGTTTATAAAATTTTCAGTTCTTGAACCTGAACATCTCTCAAGTATTTATCATTGTGCCTAATTTCAACGACCAGGGAATATTGAATCAAATGAAGCTGAATTTATGATTCAAGTCTTCTCGACTACACATGCTTCAGAGGACACAGGAGATGCAGGCGAGGGCAAAATTCTAAATATTGAAGCTCTGAGTTTATTTCTATTATATTAAAATTTTTTGTTCTATTAAATTTTTTTTTATCATGAGTTATTTGATTGAAAAGAGGACCAATGTGTGTGCTGCATATAACTAAAGTTTCAAACATAATATATATATTCAAAATATGCTCTGCATTTTTTTTTGAGTAAATAACTTTTTTTTTGATGGTGTAGGTTGGTAATTTCAGAGTTGAGCCACCTGGGCTATTCCGTGGGGGGGGGGAACATCCAAAGGTTTGAATGACAACTTTACCCCTTCATTGAATGAAGTTTTTAAACTTATTTCATTGGAAAAGAAATTTATATAATTACAAATTTAATAGATGGGAAAGCTGAAAAAACGAATCCGTCCAAGTGATATTACCATAAACATCGGAAAGGATGCTCCAATTCCAGAATGTCCAATTCCTGGTGAAAGGTTTGTTTTTTCCCACTAGATGATATTATTAAATATAAAAATTAAAGTAGATAAATGTAATGTCATGCACAGCTGGAAGGAAATCAGGCATGATAATACTGTGACATGGTTAGCATATTGGAATGATCCAATCAATTCAAAGGAATTCAATTATGTGTTTTTAGCTGCTAGCAGTTCCTTGAAGGGTCAGAGTGATAAGGAAAAATACGAGAAGGCAAGGAAGCTGAAGGTAGTTATTATTATTAAATATTAATATGATTTATTATGAATATGAATGTTAGTAATGATTAATGAATAATGATTGAGTTGTATATAATAGGGGTACATAAAAGGCATACGGAAGGCTTACACTAAAGATTTTGGAAATTCGGATGTGACAAAGAGGCCTCTGTATGGGTCCTTCAAAGGAGATATCGGTCATATGAAGCTCTGAGGTATTTTATTTATTCTCAATCAAAACACAATTAAAAGAGTTTGTTTGTTTCAGTGAGGGATATTTTGGGTGGAATTTCACTGGTGGATCTATTTGTTATCTGGCTGCTGAGGTGTGTTTCTGATTTGAATTGAATATGAAAGTTGAATGTTTGATCAATGAAAATTGGGACAGATTGAAATCAACTTATACATATTTTCTTTCTTTTTGACAGGGTGTCATTTTTTCCTTCTAACACTTGGGCTTGAATATTTCCCTCCCCACGAATTCAATGTATTTGGCATAAAGATCTTCCACAGAAAGTTTGTTTCTAACAAAACTGAAAAGAGTTTGAAGCATTACTTTGATTTTTAGGATTACTTGGAAACTCATTGTCGTCTAACAGTTTCGACAACATTGATCTAACGAATTTGAAGCATGCCTACAGTGGTGGAGGGAAAACTAATAAATAAAGGTGAAGTTTGTTTCTAACTCAAGATTTTTTTGTTTTAGGTGACAATGGATCGCAGGCCTCCACACCTCACACTTGGGATACCAGCTGCCTTCTAAAGGTTTTTACCTTTAACTTCTAACAAAAATCCAATCAAGATTTTTCTTGTTTAGTTGATTCTTTTTTTTAGGCATTCTTGACTCGTCTTAGATTAAAGCATTGTTATCTTATCAGCAAGTAATTACTTTCCAACCACGCCCGATGGTTAGCCACCCATGACACCAAGTTCAACATTTTTACGTGGTACACCAGGTGGCAAACCAATGACATGAAGGATCAGATTATATAGTTAGGGATGTAGTATCAGGTTATATAGTTAGGGAAAACCCCTTAATAACAATGTACTATCAAATTAATATCAATGTATTTCAATTTTTGATAACTTGTTTGACATGATGTTATTGGATCAAATTGATTATTTTGGTATATATTTGTTTCCATATTTTTGTATTATGCGTAAATGAATATCGTAAAGGCACATCGTAAATGCATATCATAAATGGCTGTTGAAGTTTATGACACACAAATGCGTGTCATCTTTATTTATGACAGGGGCTTTAATGATACGCAATGTGTGTCATAAACGTTCGTCATAAGGTTATGACACGCAAATGTGTGTCGTCTTCCTTGATGACAAGGGCTTCCTTGATACGCATTGCGCGTCGTAAATGCGTGTCATAAATGCGCGTCGTCTATAGACGACGCGCAAAAGCGTGTCGTCTCTCATTATGACAGGGCCTTCCTTGACACACATTTGTGCGTCGTCTGAGCGTTTTACGACATACATTGCGTGTCGTAAAAGGCTGTTTTTCTAGTAGTGGACTTTATTAAATTAATTAAAGTGTTTAATTAAAAAGGGAAGTTTAATAAATCCATAATAAATGGTTTAAGATTAATTAAATTAAGAGTATACTTTATTAATAGATTAAACCACCAAGTATTTTAAATGTGTAAAATACACCCTTATACTATATAAAGTTAAAAGTTTAATATATTATATATGTATAAGTAAAAGGTCAGTCTTACCGTTAGTAGGCCTCGTTCACAAAGTCGGTCTATAAGGGGGGGGGGGAGGGTATAAGGTTACTGCCTATAAAATGGTGGTTTAATGGGTGTCCACTCTCACCCACCGCTTCCTTGACTGGTGGAGGGTCGTTAGCCAAACGGGTAGGATAGGAAATTAATTCTCATTAAAAGTATAATGAAATACCAAGTAACTAAATACTTTTATAAATTCCCAATCTTAGTTACTTAGGAAAAATGTGAATTTTGTTTCTAACCCATGAAATTGCACATTGCACCTTATTAGTCATTAGTGGAGCGTGTGTGGTTAACCGGAACACTAATATGAGACTAATGAAGGATGGCAATGGGTAGCTCGATGTTAATCATAGATCAATGGAGCGTGTGTGGTTAACCGACACATTGATTAGGTGATTTGTAACATTAAGTGTACCAAGCTAATTTGCATGGTTATTCACACCTTGTTTTTGATCCTCGGCATCCCAGTCACAAACCTGAAGGGCATAATCAATATTTAAACATGCCATTCAAAAGTTCAGTGAATCTCAAAGAATCTAGGAATTTCAATTCATTTAAAACCTAAAATTCATTTTTCGTTTTTCATGGTGGAAATTGGTAAACCATCATTTACCTACCTTCACATATTTTACAATTGGATTACGGCATCCCTCTTCCGAATTGTAAAATATTGTGTTGGATCCTACCCTTAATATTTCATGTTCGGTGTTATATTAAGGACTTAAATCAACTAACTTGAATTTCTCCCACTATAGATGTATAGGTCAGACAACTATGGTTGTTGAGTCTAAGAGGTTGCGTCATTGGGCTTAGCTCTTAGGTCCATTTGTATACTCGGTCTGGGCCTGTCCAGCCTTGTTTTGTTTTTAGGGTTTAGTATATATATAGTGCATGCATGCATTATATTCATTACACTTCTTGATTATTTTGTTTAACAAGTACTGTAACCCTAGCACACCTCTAAAGTAGAAGTTCTTCATCGAGCTCTTTTGAGGTGTTGTTTTAATCATTCGACATCTGTTTGATTCATTGTGTGTTTGTTCTTTGGTTTGCATTCTGTTTTATTTGTTTAGAATCTTATCGATCTTAAAAGAGTGTTCAACTCATCAATTGGTATCAGAGTAGGAGGCTGTGTAAATCATACACATCTCTTCTGTTTGAAGAATTTTCTTAGGGTTTCCGCTTTTATTGGATCTGTTGAGCCATCATTCCTTCATTGACGTTGTTCATAGATCTCGATATTACCCTATTCAATCTTTACAAGTCTGATTCTTGACAAACATTCTGAAAAAGGTCATCCTGTCTCACGATGATTCACAAACCAATCCGATCAATATCTCCAATTGCATTGGATCCACAACCAGAATCCCGATTCTATACACTCAAGATTATGAAGTTTGGACGCATCACTTTGAGGACTATGTCGTTGGTTCCGAAGACAATGGTTATCTTATCTGGGAAGCAATAACATTGGGTCCTTTTGTTCATTCTGGAACAAATAGAACCATTAAGAATCAAAAGGAGTACAACAAACTCTTAACTGATGTGGACAACATTCCTCAAGACGAAAAAGATAAGTTGTTGTGTAATGTTAAAGCCATGAGAATGATCAGATTTGCTTTACAGTCCGATACTTTTCGTTTGGTAAGCCCATGCACCACGAAAAAAGAGATCTGGGATAGACTTAAAGAGCTGTATTCCACTGATGAGGACCTAGAACATTCTATCCAAACTGTATTGCTCTCTGAGTTCGGGGCTTTTCAACAAAAGTCATATGAAAAACTTATTCAGGCATTCGATCGTTTCAACCATCTTTTGAGAAAGATGATCAAGCACGATATTGGAAGAGAAGTGATCGAACAGAAGGTCACATTTCTGAATGGTTTAAGACCCGAATGGATGGCTGTGGTATCAACTGTGAAGGCTCACGAGCAGTTTAAAACCTATTCTTTGGCGAAGATGGTGGGTATTCTCAAGTCTCATGAAAGTGTTGTGACAAAGGAAGCGAAAGTGGTGTCTAGTACGGGATCCTTGGCCCTTCTCTCTAAGGCGAAGAATATGACAGAAGATGAAGAAGAGTCAGAATGTGATCTGACAAGCGAAGAGTATGCAATGATGGTTTCCAACCCGAAGTGTTTTGCTCGCTAAAAGTTCCCTGTTGCCAAGAACCGAAACTGGCAGGGAAGCTACAGCTCAGAAAAGGCGAAAGAGGAGATCAAAAATAATCCTCAGAAAGAAGAAGAGAAGAAGGAGAGCAAACTGGTTGGAGACTCCGGATACGATTGCAACTTCTGCCATGGCAAAAACCACTTTGCCAAATATTGCATGTTAAGAAAGCTATCGGAGAAGAAGGAGGGTGAAGATGATGAAGCATACCATATGCGCAAGCTGGAGGAGATAAAGAAGAAGAAAGCCTCTAACAATTCTATGAATGCCTTGATTGTGCAGGAGAATGTTGTTAATGATGAGTTCGGTGACGTAGAGGTCTGGTCTACAGACTCTAAAGATGAAGAAGTACGTAAACCCACGCATGGCAGGGCATTTGTGGAGAAAGAAGATAGTACTGAGTTTGCTGGGAGATGCTTGATGGTGACAGCTGGAGTTTCACAAATGAGGTGCTACACAACCGAAGGTGAGTATGATGAGGCGAATCAGAAGGAAGATAAGTGTTTTGCTGCCAAACCTGTGAGCGAAAGGATCAACGACTACGATCAGTTGATCAAGAAGGTACAATCCATTCTCGAATCACTTAAAATACCTGTAACAAACTATGAAAAGGAATTAAACGAATTAAAATTCAAAATTTCTAGTTTAAGTGGAAGTCTAATGCAAACACGCCTCACAAATGCTAACCTAACCGATCAAATTAGCAGGGTGACATCCAAGAATGAGGAGCGAAGGATGTGGATAGAGAAGACGGAGTTAGAGTTAGTTAGGGCGAGAGATGAAGTTATTTATTTGCAACGTGATAACTTGAAGCTTTTGAAACAAAGAAACATTTTTGCTTGATTGCTAAACGTTTATATACTTATATTACTCAATTGCATTTAGACTGTGAAATCGGCAAAAAGATTCACAAAATGATTTTGCCCTTCCTGGAGTTAAAGGAGGACGAAGTTCTGATGGTTATAACTATGAATCTATTGTTTCTTCAGATAAAATCTCTGACGCCTACAAGGTTGGTCTGGAAAAAATCGAGTCCTTTGTCAAGTCCAAAGACCATAAGGACATGCTTAAAAATCTTTTGGACGAGAATGATAAATTGAAAATCAAGACCGAAACCATACAGAAATTTGATTCGTTGAGTACCAAGTTGAGTTCAGAAAACAAGATAAATGTAGAAAACACTTCTGAATTTGACGAAGACAGTGATATGAGTGAAATTTTTGTAAAGGATGTGGTTGACTGTTCAGAATTTGTCAAAAGCGAAACCAAACCTACCAAAGGTCTTATATCTGAGAATTTGGTT